CTGTACTTAGAAATTACCCCTGGCAGTGCTCAGGGGACCATGTGGGATCCTGGGAATCGAACCTGGGTTGGCCGCATGCAAGGCAAACGCCCTACCCGCTGTGCTATCACTCCAGTCCCTGTAATAACTATTTTAATAATTTTGACTGTTTAGATAATAAAACATTTTTTAGTTTGTTTTGGGTTCACCTGGAAGTGCTCAGGAATTACTCCTGTCCCTGTGCTCAGAGATCACCCCTGGTGGGGCTCAGGGAGCCATATGTGTTGCTGGAGATTGAACCTGGGTCTTCTACACTGTTTTACTCTCCAACCAGACAATACGCACTTTATTATATATAGCATCTAACGTCACAAGATGTCACTCTTCAGATGAAAAATTATTTAAGTTTATGAGAACAATAAGTAATACTAGAGCAGCATTTATTTATTTATTTATTTATTTATTTTTGGCTTTTTGGGTCACACCAGCAATGCACAGGGGTTATTCCTGACTTTGCACTCAGGAATCACTACTGGCAGTGCTCAGGGGACCATATGGGATGCTGGGGATCGAACCTGGGTAGGCCGCATCAAGGCAAATGCTCTACCCACTGTACTATCGCTCCAGACCCCTAGAGCAGCATTTAAAAGCCAGTAACAACTCCTGGTCTTACACAAAGCAGAATGATTCTCTGGGTAAGAGTTTTCTATCTGTCAAATGTCTTAACAAGTTACTTTGCTTAATTTTGCGACATTAGTATATTAAACTTCATAATTACTAATTGGTGTCAATATATCTTTAATTAGTATAATTAAGACATAACTAACTTGGAAAATGACAGTAGTGAAACAGAGCTGAAATGTAAAGAATGGATAGCAGAAAGTCGGAGGATCTGTGTCTCTACCCTCTCCTCTCCACAAGGGGGCAGTTGGCAGAGCAACACATCAAATCCTTTCAACTCTGACCACCAGTGGAAACAACTTCCTTTCTTAGATTAATACACCCTAGCACTGTAGCACTGTCCTCCCATTGTTCATCCATCTGCTCAAGCCGGCACCAGTAACGTCTTCATTCTGAGACTTGTTGTTACTGTTTTTGGCATATCGAATACGCCATGGGGAGCTTGCCAGACTCTGCTGTGCGGGCGGGATACTCTCGGTAGCTTGCCGGGCTCTCCGACAGGGGCGGAGGAATCGAACCCGGGTCAGTTGCGTGCAAGGCAAACGCCCTATGCTATCACTCTGGCCCATATTAATACACGCTACCATATATTTTTTGAATGTGCTAAAACAAATTCAAATACATTCTCTGGGACTGGAGCTGTAGTACAACAAGTATGGTACTTGCCTTGCTCACAGCTGGTACAGGTTTGATCCTTGGCATCCCAGATGGTCCCCCAAGTCGACTAGAAATCATCCTTGAGCGCAGATACAGGAGTAAGCCCTGAGCACCACCAGGTGTGACCCAAAAAACAAATAATAATAATGATGATAATTATAATAATAATACATGCTCCTAATTATATTTTTGTGTGTGTGTATGTGTGAAGCAAGAATTTTGTTTGTTTGTTTGGGGGGGCGCACACTCAATGATACCCAAGCTTTATCCTTTATTTTTTGACAGAAAATCTTGACTTTATTTATTTTTAGGTAGTATTTCTTTTTTCCTAAGCTTTACTCTTGACTCTGTGCTCAAGGACCACTCCTGGAGATAATATGGGATGCTGAGGATCAAACCCAGGTTGGCCACGTGCAAGGCAAGCATCCTACCCACTGTACTATCTTTCCAGCTCTCACAGGATAGCTTTAATTAAACAAAGATTACTTAGAAGGACTCAAGGGGAGAGAAAGAGAGAAAATACATGTGAAAAAGAGAACACCGACTTCTCCAGAGTACGAAAAAGCAGAAGCAGAGAGACAGAGACAAGCAAGCCAGCTATGCATTTACGGGAGAACAGGGGTCTTGAAGGATCAGTCTAAAATATTTTCATTGCTATAGTAGTAATCAAACTATAACTGTTCAAATGAATAGCAAGAGATGTTCAGTAATAGGAAATAGTGTCTGCAAGGACATATTAGAAAATATAATGAGATTTCCTGGTAAATTGAAAAGACAATTTAGAAAAATGTTTACATATGTAAAACAATTATAGTTAAAATAGACTCATGAAACAAAAAGGGGTTGAGTGCTGGAAGAGAGTTCAAAGGGATGGAGTGAATGCCCGGCTTGCAGAGGTCCCAGGCTCTCTTCCAGGCACCACATGGCTCAAAGCAGCATCTAACCAATTAATCTTGAGATTTGACCTCTAGCCCCCTGAGTTGATCTCCACCCTCAACACATTGGTTCTTAAAGATTATACCATTATACCTGGCACTTGCCTTGAATGTGGCTGGCCAGGGTTCAATCCCTGGCACCACATACCGCATATGGTCGCCCGCCAGGAGTGATCCCTGAACAAAGAGCCAGGAGTAAGCTCTAAGCACCTCCAGGTGTGGCCCCCAAAAAGAACAAAAGCAAAAAAGATTATATCGTTTAAATCAGTACTATTTGCAACTATATTCCAAATACATTTTAAACTTTTATTTTTACCAATTTTATTTACATAATGTATCTAAAAATATTCAAAAATTCAAGTGCCTGTACCTGGCAAACTGCTAGACTACACAAAAAAGGAAGGAGGATACTATATTTTTATTACAGTAGTTATTAGAATTAAGATTTTTATTAGGACGAGAGGAATCGAAAGAGCTATGCTTAGAATATCACTTTTCACTCAAGTGAGAGAAGGAATCCGGAGTTCCAACCTCTGTCGACGGTCAAGAATCAGGGACGCTGTCTTGTTTGCCAAGGCATCGAAAATCAGATGGGCCAGACACGGAATGCGATTTAGAGACAACCACTGGACTAGAGCTGTTACCGACTGGATTCCACAGGACGTCAAAAGGACACGTGGCTGCCCACCTACAAGATAGTCAGACTTCTTTGTCAAAACCCTGAATAAATGGTTTGAGGCTCTTCGTGTTCCTGGAGTGAGCAGATGCCATTGGGCTACACTAGCACGCGACAGGGATGAATGAAGATGTTACTGGCGCCCGCTTGAGCACATTGAAGATTAACGGGATGACAAGTGACAAGTGACAAGTGATTAGGACGAGAAAGACTGTCAGAAATGTTGGAATTCAGGGTGGCCAGGGTAGGCAAGGTGGCAAAAATTGCTTAACTTTCAAGCTTGAGGCATGAGTTGAAGGCCTAGAGTTGGATTCTAGTGTTGGCCCTGGGTGCCCATTCTAGTGCAGGAACGCCCCCTGCCTTGCAGGGACAGAGTGTGCTCTCAGATTTCTGAGTGCAAAGGCAGGAATAACCTCTGAGCATTGCTGGGTGTGGACCAAAACCCAAAAATAAATAAATAAAAATATTGAGGGGCTGGAGCAATAGCATAGCAGGTAGGGAGTTTGCCTTGCACCGGGCCTCTGTCAGGGCGCCAGAACCAGCAACACACCTCCACTGTGAAAGCCCACAAACACTCATGTGTGAGACCCCTGCTGTTCCACTTAAGGTACAAAGGGGCGGGAGCAGATAAGAAAAAGAAAATAGAGAACTCAGAATGATTTGAAAAAAGTGTAACTAGTCCCTGGTTTACAATTTTGCCAATTGATGGTGAGGGTGGATGGACAGAATATTGCGTTGTTTCAGGGCTGGAGTGATAGTTCAGCAGGTAGGGCGTTTGCCTTGCATGTGGCCGCTCTGATTTGATCCCCGACCCTGAGCATCACCAGGAGTGATTTCTGAGTGCAAAGCCAGGAGTAACCTCTGAGCATTGCTGGGTGTGGACCAAAGACCAAAAATAAATAAATAAAAATATTGAGGGGCTGGAGCAATAGCACAGCGGGTAGAGAGTTTGCCTTGCACGCGGCCAACCTGGGTCCGACTCCCAGCATCTCATAAGGTCCCCCGTGCACCGCCAGAAGTGATTCCTGAGTGCAAAGCTAGGAGTAACCCCTGAGCATGGCCGGGTGTGACCCAAAAAGAAAAAAAAATATTGAGCTGTTTCATTTTACTTTAACTCTTGAACTTAAGATGTTTCTATTTAACTTTTTCTTTTGGGGGGTAGGGGGACACACAATGCAGTGCTCAGGGCTGACTCCTGGCTCTGCATTCAGTAATTATTCCTGACAGGGACCATACAGGGTGCAGGGGATCAATCCCGAGTAGGCCGTTTGCAAGGCAAGCAAGCGTTGTACCTGCTGTACTATCTCTTTAGCCCTCTTTCTGTTTAACTTTTATTATCATTTTATAAAGCAACGGTTGATTAAAAGTCACGTAGTAATTTTAAACACTGGAAGCAAATACAATATGTACATTTCATGTTTCAGTGCCACTTCTATCGTGCATCGTGTGTGTGTGTGTGTGTGTGTGTGTGTGTGTGTGTGTGTGTGTGTGTGATGGCGCTGGGAAACCGCCCTGTGTGAGCGAAGTCTGGGAGGGGCAGAACGGGGAGGCCCCTTTCTGTCTCATTGATAGCACATTCATTCGCTGGGAACCAGCTAAAAGGGACAAACCCTTTATGCAGTCTTTCTCTCCACCCAGTTAAGTCTACACCAGAACTCGGTAAGAACAAAGTACTTGAATCTGAAATGATTTTTATGTCAGTTTATTGGAAGGGGGGAGAAGTGAGGAGATGGAGGTAGGGGAAGTGGCGCTAATTATCAGACACCACTTCGCTGTTCTGTTTTGCCTCAGAGAAAAGTGCAATGCAGAAATGGTCTCAAAATGACTTTATTCAGGCAGAAAACGGCGGTCTCCCGGGAGAACTTCTTAAAAGATGTTCTCCTAGGCAGAAGTTGACCCCTGGAACTCTGGGGAGGGAGATCGGGCAGGTGCAAGCGCTAGGGCTAAGGACTGCGTGCGCCAGTCAGATTTAGCCTCAGTCCTGAGGTCTGGGGGGGATGCTGCTTTCTCTCTCTCTTTCTCCAGGCGCGGCCTCCACAGAAACGCTACGAAGAGCTGAGAGGGGCCGAGCCATGCGTCCTCGGAGGTTGCAAACGTGCCTCTCGCTGCTGCTGCTGCTGCTGTGCGGCGGCTGCAGACCCGCAGTCTCCAGGAGGGCCGAGGAACCGGCCCCGGGTCCCTCTCGCGGCCGGTTCGTCAGCCCGGAGGGGCACGCTTGCAGCTGGCAGCTCCTGCTGCCCGCCCCGGGGCCCGCCGAGCTGGCCCTGCGCTGCCGGGGTCCCGACGGGGCGCACCAGGCGTGCACCTACCGCGGGGCGCCCGAGCGCTGCGCCGCCTACCCCGCCCGCCGCGCGCTCTACTGGAAGCAGGTGCTGGGCGCCCTGCGCAGGAGGCGGCGGCCCTGCCAGGACCCCGCGCCGCTGCGGGCCCGCCTGTGCGCGGGCAGGAAGGGCCCGGGAGCCGAGCTGCGCCTGCGGCCCGCCGCGCCCCCTCCGGCCGGTTTGTCTCGGGAGCCCAAGGCCCGGGCCCGAAGCCGCGGGCGGCCCCGCCAGGCCCAGCCGGAGCGCGCCCAAGGGGCCCCGCCTTCCCCGCCCCGGGAGAAGCTCCCGCCGCGGCCGACGCAGGTCGGGAAGAAGAAGGCGGTGGTGGCCTCGGACCCCGAGCACCCCCCAGCGCGGGGGACCCCGGCCGACCCCGACGGGCTGGACGGGAACGCGCAGCTCGCCGGCACCTACTGCGCCGAGAAGTGGCACTCGCTCTGCGACTTCTTCGTCAATTTCTGGAACGGCTGAGCCCGCCACCAGCAGCCCCGAGGGACCGTGCGGGAATGTACGCAGCGGGGGATCGGGAGATTTGGGGCCCTCAAGGCTGAGATGGGAAGAAAGTAAAGGGTGGGGGAGAGAGATCGGGAGAGAGAGATTGGGGAGGGTGGGAGAGGTGGGGGGGGGAGTCGAGGGGGGAAGGTAAGGGGCACCGGGAAGCTCCGAGATTACAGAGAAGTTGCCACCTTTGAAGCATCTCGATCTTAATTGAGAGCAGAAGAAATCGGGGCAATAAAAGCAGGAAGACCTGAAACGTGCAATAACTTATACTATAGACATGGGAGAATCTGGCAGAGAAAACACTGGAGGGAAAAAAAAGGGAGTGGGGGCAGGTCGGAGATGGGGGGCAGAGGCAAACTTGAATCTTCCCTGGCAGGCAGGATACAACGTCGACTGTTCAACACATTTATGTTCAGATGTAATCACCGAGCAGTGGATAACATAAGCTAGGTTGAATTGTTCTGTCCTCTTATCGAATTAGTTAACAGAATAACTGCTTTTTCTTCATCTTCTTTGGGGATTAGTATAAACGGGTGCTGCCTAGGGTAATAGATGATCTCTTTAGGGCTAGAAGCCATTTAGAGGTCAAAACTGACACCGGTGAAAAATTTTCGGGATGGTTGCCTTTGAATCTTTGTTGAAGGGCCGCTTTTTAAGCAGAGATGCCCACTGTTCGAACATGTTTTCATTAACCTTGCAAATTTAGAGATGAGTTGGAGAAGTTGAACAGTCCCGGGGGGGTATTAAAAAACAATTTTCTTTAGAGTTAATCGTCTTTTTAAAAACAACTAAAATCTAGGTAGTATCTAGCAGTGTTTTTAGAACATCGTATGTATTTCATGTAACTGACTGCTAAGTATTTCATTTAAAATAAAGTGTACTGAGACAATGGTAGAGGGAAAAACTCTGGTGTCCTGTTGTGACAATGTATGTATGAAACCCTATCTCAGCATTGTAAATTATAATGCTTCAATAAGAACAAAATATTAAAAAAATCTTTTGTTAGACTTTGCAATGTTAACTGCTCAATAAAAATATATGGATTTAAAGTACTAGGGAAGCAACGGAAATTCTGACAGGTATGATCTAATTCTGTATTAATTTCCTATATTCTGTTGGCTGAAAGAAGTGTCTAAGGGTAAACTTTACTAGGAGAAGATTCAGTGACAAAACCAGAGCTCTTGAGATGGTCAAGTTAAAAGCATCGGTCAGTCAGGTCAAGCGGAAAGAAAAGATAATGGAGGCCCTAAGGAAAACTCCATTTCCCTGACCTTTCCAGTGCTGAGCGGCTGCCCACACTCTGTGGCTCCCGGCCTCCTTCCATAATCCAGTTGCCTCATTACACATCTCTGACAATCACCCTTCCTTCTCCCTCTTTTATTTAAAAGGACCCAGGGATTATGTTAATATCATTAATACACATTAATGGTGAATTATTGTCCAAATAATCCTGGTTTATCATTTTTTGCAACCTTGATTTCCCAAAGCTAACTATCATGGCTATAGGGGGCCAGAGAAATATTACAGTAAGTAGGGTGTTTGCCAACCTAGGTTTGATCCCTGTCACCCCATATGTTTCCCCAAAGCCCTGCCAGGAGTGATCCCTGAGCACAAAGCATGGAGAAGTATGTATATACTTATGTAAATATATATATTAGGAGCCTCAAAGGGCTAAACACATGTCTGGCATGTAGAGGCTCAGGTTCAAGTCCCAATACCCTGTGTCCCCTGAGTAGTCCTAGAAATACCTCCCAGACTTCAGAGGACCCTTCTCCAAATTTAATCAGTGACATTCCTAAAGTCTGGTTTAAAATTGTCAAACTAGAAAAAGAAGAAAACCGGCTGGGGGCCCTCACAGCTCCCGGAGAATGCTCCAGGTCCCAAACAGAGCTGATATCACCAGGAGGTCCCAGATGGGGTAGGTGCTGCATCCTGCCAGATGGAACCCCGATGACCATGAGCCTGCAAGCAGGCACCAGGACATTCTTTCCAAACTGCAATGGGGCCACCCGGGCTCCCAGGCAACCTCTGATTCCAGAAGTCACGCCCACAACCCGATCCCCAGTGACATCTTACAGCACACAGCCACAAAGAAGAAAACCAGCTGGGGGTGGGGGGCACAGCTCCCGGAGAATGCTCCAGGTCCCAAACAGAGCTGATATCACCGGGAGGTCCCAGATGGGGTAGGTGCTGCATCCCGCCTTCTCCAGATGGAACCCGGATGACCATGAGCCTGCAAGCAGACACCAGGATATTGTTTCCAAACCGCGCGGCCGCTTATGCAGCCGCGTGACATCTCCTTATATACAAAGTGATCAATGGAAAGTAAATCATCCAACGTTTCTCCCTGAAAATCAGACTTAACTCTTTTGCAAACCACAACACCCAAAAGGAGAGAAAGAACACAGGGGAATGCCCTGCCACAGAGATAGGGTGGGATGGGGGGGATGGGGGGTGGGAGGGATACTGGGATCCATCCGTGGTGGTGGGAAATGGGCACTGGCGGAGGGATGGGTATTCGAAATAAAAAAAAATTGTCAAACTAGCCAATGTTCTTTGGCCTATACAAAGGCAAGAAGGAAAGACCAGATTTTAAGTTGTTTTCTTTCCTTTTTTCCAGGGATTGAACCATACTCAGTGGTACTAAGGAGTTACTCCTGGCTCTGTGCTTGAGGAACTATATCTGGTTCTAGGGATTGAACCAGGTCAGCTGCATACAAGGCAAGCACTTTAACCCCTCCCTGTACTATCTCTTTGACTCCCTGCCCCAAGTTTTTTGAGGGGGCAAAACAGGGTAGTGCTCAAGTCTTATTCCTGGCTCTGTGCTCAGGAATAACTCCTGAAAAGGCTTAATGAGTTGGTTGCATTGAACATAAATAACTCACCCCCTGTATGAACTATCCCTTTGGCCTCATTCAGTATGCTGTTTAAAAATCATTTGCCTTGGGAGCTGGAGTGATAGCACAGCGGGTAGGGCATTTGCTTTGCACGCAGCTGACCCAGGTTCGATTCCCATCATCCCATATGGCCCCCTGAGCACCGCCAGGACTAATTCCTGAGTGCAAAGCCAGGAGTAACCCCTGAGCATTGCCGGGTGTGACCCCAAAAAATCATTTGTCTTGGGGGCTGGTGCAATAGTACAGCAGGAAAGGTACTTTTGCCTCGCATGTTGACTCAGGTTTGATCTCCAGCATCCCATATGTTCCCCTGAGCACTGCCAGGAGTGATTTCTGAGTGCAGAGCCAGGAGTAAACCCTGACTATTGCCAGGTGTGATCCCAAAACTGCAGCACTGTAGCACTGTTCTCCTGTTGTTTATCGATTTGCTTTGTATTTCCTGTTCTTTTTCTTCAGGGAAGTGCAATATCCATTTTCTAATAAGTCAGCCCTAGCCTGCAGAAAAGCAGAAGATCCAAGAAGCCAGCAGAGAAACAAGATGCAAGAAATTTGGGATCCTAGATAACCTCATGGAAAACTGTCTCACTGCTCCACATGAGTCCATCATGAAGGAAAAATAAAATGCACAGTCAGCCCTCGGTGTTTCTCGACTCCATGTTTATGAATTGTTCCACCTGCTGAAGCTTATTTGTAACCTCCAAAGCAATAGTTATGGCTCTTTTCTGTTTATTCATGGCAGGAGCGATTCATGGCAGTGGAGAAAATTTGGGATGGCAAATGTACATGTGCCCCGCAGAGGAGGAACAAGGTGCCACACTGTCTTCTTGTTTCGACTCACACTGCAAACAAGTTCTCTTTGTGAAATGCATGCTGCCATGTTGGGTCACATTTTTGTGCTCTTTGTTGGTAATTTCACAGTTTAATGCCCCCTGAGGCTGGTGCTCAAAGTGCCATCTAGTGTTCTCATGTGCAAGAAAGCTGTGTCTAAAGAAGGAAATAGGTATTCGATAGGTAACTCATCAGGTGTGAGTTATAAAATTACTGGTCATGAATTCAGTGATAACGAGCTATCACAAGCAATTAAATACAGTGTCTTTAAATAGAAATGCACATCAAACAAGGTTATGGGATATGGCTGAGCAGTAGAGCACTTGCTGGATTTGATTCCCGATTTTTCTCCCTCCTGCCCCCCCCCCAAAAATAGAGCTAAAGCTAAGAGTTACATGATGGAGGTCAACATACTTGGAAAATTCATCTCTCTGAGCCTATTGTCCATGTAGATCAGAGAAGAGAATAAGACTGTTGGAAAAATAAAATGAGAAGCTCATGGGAAGTTCCAGCACATTGCAAGTATCTAATATATATGTCCTTACTGTTTCTATTTCCTTTAGTACACATGCAGGCATCTAAGGGGGAAGTTTCAGACGTCAAGGTCACTTATACAAAATGGTAACCAGCAGTACTCCATCTCAGCTGGGAACAGCATAAAGGAGATAAATGAGAAATGCATAATTGCATTTGATCAGAATCACCTGATAATGCGAACAATAGACAATGTTCACATCCCCGTGTGGAAGTGAGGGACATGGGTGTACATCATTAGTGAGGATGATTTGAAAGGAGATGAGACTGTATGGGGGATTGGGGACCACAAATGATCTCTTAACTCAATAGTTTTCTTACAACTTCAAAGAATAACTCTTCCTGCTTTGACCAATGCTTACCACATGTGACCTCTGGCTTACCACATTAAACAATTCCCTCCACTTAAAATACTTAAAGAAGGCATAAATGCAAACTGAAAATCCCCTACATTCGGCGCCCCCGACACACACACCAACTCCCTTTAAAGCAAGGAAGCTGCGTTAGTGATTTAAAAATTATTGAATGGTTATCATATGCAGAGAAGTTTAAAAAGTGTAAGATGCTATCGATAAAACCAACAGAAGGCAGAATACGTTAGAGTAAACTCAACAACAAATTTGCCAGCATTAAATTAAAGACCCCAAAATACTTCTGAGGGAGGGCTAAGAAAGACTTGAATAAATGAAAACACAAATTTATTTATTGTTG